TTAAAGTGCATTATCCTGTGAAGAACCTGGCAAGAAACAACAGTACTCATTCATGGAATTTTCCCGCGAATTACTTTTTGCTGTTTCTTGCCCAGTTGTTCCCTGGTTCTTCACAGGATAATGATACCTGTGCACATCCAAAGGGATCATCCATGTACCAGGCTATTCCAATCTACCCACCTTGTTTGCAATACCAAAAGGATTCTAGGAACCATTCAGTGATGGGAGCAGCCTTCAGGAGTTTGCTATGGCATACTACCTGTCTTGGCTAGCTTCCTTAATGCCTATGGGCTGGTGGGATGGGGCCTTGACCTTCAGTTTCTGGGATTCCTGGTCTACCAGCAGAGAGGCATAGCAGTACACACTGGAAGGTAGTCCTTTCCCACAAACACACCAGGTGACACCCCCGTCTGAGGTATCACCTGGTGAGATCTGCACTCCTCACACCCCTCTAGAAATGCTCCTGCATCTAGCTGAACAGGCACAGAGTATCAACAAGGATCACTGAAGTGAGACCCACCTTGTTGCCTAATAATAACAAACATTATTGTTACCTTTAAATAGCAGAAACAGAATAGCATCTGGTTCCAAAATCTTTAGAAGGAAGAGCAGCTAAAAATATTGCCCCAAATCTGATCAGCTGCAAAATTCCAGAGTTGAGAAATGGATGCAAGAACAACAAAATAAAAGCTTTGAGTTTCAAACATTCTGTTTACTAGATTAACTACCAACAGATGTTTAGCATTTTTCCATAAAATTAAATGCATTGAATATAAATACTCTACTGGAGCATGAAGTAAGATTTTTTAATAACCCAGGTGACTCAGAAGGAGAGAAATTGGGTAGAAACTAATTAGATTGGAGCCAAAAGTATTCCTACATGATTACTCTCAAAGCAAAGATAAATACAGCTGTTGTGATTACAACGATGGAAAGCAGATTTTGATACCATTCTTTCAGGTATGGTCAACTGTAGAATTATAGGAAAGGAAACAAAAATCTGCAGTCAGACAGAAACAGACTGTTTCCCATGGCAGTGATTCCTGTGACAGTATTTCAGCATCAGCTAGATCTTGAAGAGTTACTTTTGAGGAATTAGCCCCCAGCATTCCTCAGCCAGCTGTAAAGTGATTCTGGGAGCTGCAGTGAAAAAAAGAGGGGGACATGTTTAGTTTTGGATATAGTAAGGCCTTCCTCATCTCCAGATGTTTTGGATGACAGCTCCCACTGTCTCCAGACAGCACCTGGTAGGCACCAGGTTAGAGAAAGGCTGGAGCAGCATTTCCAAATGCACTATACTGTTGTAATAGAATTATGGAATCATACAGCCATAGAGTTGGAAGGGACCACAGGGCCTTCTCATCCAACTCCCTGCCATGCCATAAATTATGCAGTCAAGTTTCATGATGAAAGCACTCCTGCAGGATGACCATCCAAATTTTGTTTAAAGACCTCAAAAGAAGGAGACTCTGCCATACAATAATGCTGAAAGAAAAGCATTATCAAGCCATGATAATGGGGACAGTGGAGGAACTGGACCTAAATTCACCACTACACAAGTGGATTTCTGTTCTGCTGGACCCCACATGGACCAGATCTGGTGAACCCATAGGGTACAGCGGTGTGGCAGATTTGAAACCATCAGCAGTGTCTTTTTCACTGGCAGAAGGACACCATCAAATGCAACCCTGAAGCCTATCATGAGTGACTTTCCTAACAGGGGTAGAGAGTGAATTCATGGCCAGTGTAAGATTCATATTTCATTCTTTAAGCTGCTATATTATGCCAGTTGTTAATCCTCTTAGGTTGTGAATAGTTTAACAGACAATCCCTTTATATGTTTCCTTACAGCAAAAATCCATGCATGCCTAATATTTAAAGTTATCCATTTGTTCATTCATATATGCTATTCCAGCAACAAAAATGACAAGTCAAGAGTTTCCTGCTTTTCCAAGAGAAAGCAAAATGACCTCCAGATTGTATCAATGGACACCATACATTGTATCCTAAGGACAGGGTTAGGATTTCCTGTGGCTCAGAAATTAGGAGGGCAGCCCCTATGCCACCCTGCCAGTATGCATGCTGTCAATAGGTGTGGCAGGAGCTGAAAGAAGTTTCAAGAAGATTTGTTGTTGTAGTTGTATACCTTAATGTCGTTTCTGACTCATGGCAACCCTAAACTGAACTGGGGGTGTGTGGGGTGTAGCAAGAATTGTTTAGAGCAAACTTGTCAATGCCTTCCTCTGAGGCTGTGAGAGTATCACCCACTCAGTTTTCATGGCTGAAAGAAAAGAAAGGCACTCAAGGTCACCCACTCAGTTTTTATGGCTGAATGGGGATTCAACCCTTTTCTCTCAGAGTCCTAGCTCAACATTCACACCACTACACCAAGCAAAAAGCTAGCACTCATTTAAAAAAAACTCCTGCAGGTAGTCTGAAGCATAGGGTGGTTATTCCCCATGGTGACTTCCTTTTGCACTGAAGTTATGAGTGTGTTATTTTTCCTTTTGAAAAATCACTGAACACTGAACAAATATCACACACCATTCCTATAATTTGGAATCCAAAAGGGATAGTATAAAAGTAATGGACTCTCTGAACGCTTGTAACACTAGTAGGAATTATGTGGCCTGCCACATACAATTGAACTACAAATTCCAGCATTATTGATGATTGCCTATCCTGGCCTGGAGTAATGTGACCTGCAGTCCAACAATATCTGGAAGGCCACAAGATTTATGGAATTACCTGGAATGATTAATCCCCACAGAATACATGAGATCTACATAAATATTAATTTCTAACATTCCCATTAATTAATGGGTCTACTCTTGTTGTTGTGTGCCTTCAAGTTGTTTCTGATTCATGGCAATCCTAAGGCAACCCTAGGTTTGAGTGTTGGACTACGTCTCTGGAGATCAGGGTTCAATTCCTGCTTTGGCCACTGGGTGACCTTGGGTGATTCACACTCTCTCAGCCTCAAAGGATGGCAATTTCAAATCTCCTCTAAACAAATCTTGCCAAGAAAACCCCATTATAGGGTTGCCTTAGGGTCGCCATAAGTCAGAAACAACTTGAAGACACACAACAAATAAATTCAGAAAAAAACAGGAGAAAAATCTGTGACTGTTCATTCAATCAGGATGTACCCCATGTTGTACTGGAGGAAAAACTTATTGAAAGTCTGAGCCCAAGTTGCGAGTCTGTAGTAAAGGGAAATGCTTGAGGTTATGCTTTGGGCAACTCTGCTGAAGCACCTTTGAATAACTGCAACTGTTCCAAACACTGTCCAGTAGGTGGCGGTTGTGCACACTGATCATGATCTGTTCTTTCCTTCATGCTATGTTCATGCTAACATCAAGGTCCCCAAATCCAGTTGAAGAATTTGTGCATTTTCGGTGGAAGGCCTAAATGCTCTAAACTAGAGACACCAAATCCTATCTGATCTTGGAAGCCAAGCAGGGTCAGCCTTGGCTAGTACTTGGATGGAAAACCACCAATGAACACCAACTGCTTATATTTTGGAGGAAGACTCTGGTTATATTTCAGAGAAAGGAGCTGGCAAAACCACCTCCCTCCATTACCATCTGATGTCATCTGGGGGAGAGACACTAGGCCAAGCACCATCGGGCCTAAAATAATAAGAAGAGCCCTCCCTCCATTACCATCTGATGTCATCTGGGGGAGAGACACTAAGCCCAACACCACCCAGCCTAGAATAAGAAGAACCCTTACTTCTTAAAGGATGGGTGGGATTCGGGATTTTACGTTTTGTTTAATGGAAATTGTAATGTAAGCTGCCCCGATTGTTCTGCAGAGGGGCGGGATATAAATAAAAATTATTATTATTATTATTATTATTACCTCTGAATATTCCTTGCCCAAGAAAACCCTATGACATTCATGGTGTCACCATAAGTCAACAGGCAACTTGAAGGCACATACACACAGAGAGAAGAATCCCAAAGTTGTTGTTGTTTTTTAAATTCTAAATTCTTTCTGTCCTGTGTATGAAGAAATTTCTTAACATTGGTCAATTTTTATTTAAACAGAACTAAAACAAAATTCTCACCTAATACTGCTCCAATGGAAGGGTAGACAAATCTGTCTGTTGGGGATTCTATTTCACATTTTTCCTTTCTTAAATTCATGCGATCTCATTTTTCCTCCCATCCCATTTATTGATACAATCGCCAGCATTGTTGTTGTGTGCCTTTGGGTCATCCCTGACCTATGGCCATCTTCCGGCAAACTTGTGATGAGGTTTTCTTGGCACGTTTTGTTCAGCGGGGGTTTGCTTTTGCTTTTCTCTGAGACTGAGAAAGTGTGACTTGCCCAAGGGCACCCAATGGGTTTCCATGGCTGAGCAGGAATTTGAACCCTGGTCTCCAGAGTCATAGTCCAACTTTTGAACCATTATGCCACACTGTCTCTCTTGTGACCAGCACACTGGTAGTGATATACACAAGCATTAAGTCCACCTAATGTCAGTGTATGTCTTTTTTGGTCATTGTGGAGGTTAGCATCCCCTTCCGCTCTTCTCTGTGACCAAAGTCCCCTACTCCTGGACTCACAATTTTGCTATGATACCCACCCACTCTGAACACACATTTTGTGACTGATGGAGAGCAGAGGTGAATCGGAGAAGCCTCAGATGCAGAACAATGACAACATCTCCTGAGGACCTGGTGGATCCTTGGTAGAAGGTGTTATCAGCTTGTGCTGGCTATGGATCATAGCCAGATCTTTCTCCAATTCTCAGCTATTGGTCATTCACAGCAAAACCATGAGTCCTGGGAGCAGGGAGCCATAGCAAAGCTCCACCTTTGGAACTCTTATGTCACACAGGACAATGTAAGATCTCAGCCAGGGTGACCAGGCGTCCTCCTTTTCCTGGATATGTCCTACATTTCAAAATTCCAAAATGTCATTTTGAGCATGACTAAGAAGCATGAATTTATGAGTGTTTTTAGCTTTTATTTGGTCATGTCCTACATTTTTCTTGAATGTCCAACATTTTGCGGTGCCTTGTCTTCCTTTGCATTTAGGACATCTGGACATCCTCATCTCAGCTAATCTCTCCTTTCCCACTTCCAATGAAAATATCCTTTTAAATTTGTATCCTTACCTCCATTCCATTCTTGTGCAACTTGACATCTCTAAACATGCTTTCTTAAAAATGTAACAACAATTGCATTGGGCTGACAAAACAAAGATGGAAAACAATTATTGTAGCCTACATTTTTAAAATATCACTTCCCAGATTAATTTGTGGACTGAACATAGTCATCCTTCCATGTCTCTAAATATCATGACATGATTTTTGGCTCAAAAACCTTCTAAATGGGTTAGGGGAAATTGTATACAAAAAATATATATAATAAGAAACATTGTAAACAAAATAGGTATGTTGGAGAAAATGGTTATGAAACCCAACATGTATGTTTGTGGGTTTTTAAAAAAAGGGAAACTGTGCAGAATGGGCTTATGCTGGAACCAGCTTTTGAAAAATGTACCTTTTGAGACTCCTGCTTACCAGAATTAACAAATCAGCATGCCAATGTCTAGGGGGCTCAGGGAATTGTAGTCTAAAGAAGAAACAATTCCAAATTCAGCAATGGCATAGACTAATAATGCATGTGAAACTGATACACATCACAGAATGATTCATCCATCCCTAACAAGAATGCAAAGCATTGGTAAATATTCCCTATACAACACAAGGAAAAGTAGGAAGAACTCCCTTTTCTACTGCCTCTTGGGAAAGTGATGGAGACTAACAAACTAATCTCTATGCTTCTTTTCTTGCCTCATTTGCTTCCTGAGTGCCTATTATGCTGAAATTACAGCTGTCCTCAAGACTTGGGAGATAGGTTCACTATTCAGCAGGGGAGAAACTTTTAAAACATGAACAGCCAGGATAGGACGATTTAAATCTCCCAGTCAGGGCTACCCATGCCTAGCATCTTAATGGCTTTAGCAAAAAGGCATGAGCTAAGTGGTAAACGAGATAAAAGTAAAGCACTGTATGCACTAGCCTAAGCTAGTAATAGAGACAGCATTGAAAGCACTTTCCCTTCCTGTTGTGGCTTCTGCTTAATCAACAGCTTTTGCTCCACTTGAGTTATGAGCAATGAATGAACGCTGAAAATGTAATCAACAATTTTGGACCTTTAGCAGATAATATTGCTGAAATCTCAATCTTATTGTACTACTAACAAGTCCAACCTTTTATAAAAATCTAAAACCATGATATTTCTGAAATGTTGAAAATAATAAATGCATCTTTTGCATTTCCCCAAATATAAACTAGGTCCAAACCTTTGGGCTCCTATCACCTTGCCCCTCAAGCTCTCTCCCTGGATCAGGTACTTGGCTCTGATCCCTGTATGGACCAGTGGATGTTGTTCAGTGGTTCACTGTGGTAAACATGACCATACTCTTTATCAAAACTCAATAGGAACATCCAAAGTTTTTAAAAAGAATAAACAAGTAATTAATACACAATTAGATCACACATCCAAAGCTTCAATTGTATATTCCTGTATGGCAGGGAGTTGGACTGGCTGGTCTTTGTGGGCTCTTCCAACTCTGTGATTCTATTATTCTATCCCATGTGGTGCAGTGGTTTGAGTGTTGGACTAGGAATCTGGAACAGGTTCAAATCCCCACTCGGCCATGGAAAGCCACTGGGTGACCTTGGGCAAGTCACTCTGTCTCCGCCTCAGAGGAAGGTAAAGCAAACTCCCGCTGAACAAATCTTCCCAGGAAAGCCCTGTAATAGATTTACATTAGAGTCACCATACGTCGGACCTGAAGGCACACAATAACAACAACAGTGGTTCTATTCACCCCTGAACTAGTAATCATTCACAATTCCCCCAAACCCTTTTCATTTCTTCCCTGTTAACTATTCTAACTCTAACTGTTTGATGTGTATAACGGCTTTCCAATATCTCTATACCCTAAAAGTGCCAGATCCCATGTGATCTTGGAAGCTAAGCAGGCTCAGTCCCCAAAGACATAACCATATTAGTCTGGAAAATAAGTATGCAAAGGGATCTTGTAGGACCTTTGAGGCCAACCAGGTTCAGTCCTGGTTGTTATTTGGATGAGAGACCACCAAGGAATACCAAGTGCGGTAGGCTATATTTCAGAAGAAGGTGCTGGCAAAAACCACTACTGAGTGTTCTTTGCCTAAGAAAACCTTATGAAATTCATGGTGTCCACTTAAGTCGCTATAAGTCTCTCTGCTTATCTTCCTTCTGTCAGAGACAAGCTCCCTTTCTCCCTTTAGACTCCCCTTTACAGCATTCCCAACCAGGCTTGCCTAGCTCCTTCCTTCACTTAAATGCATTAGAATCTAAGCTGAAATTGATATTTAAAATATAATAATAAAATAAAATAAAATAAAATAAAATAAAATAAAATAAAAGCTATCTTTTTAAGCCAGCTGACAGACCAGTGTGTTGCAAGAGACAATTAAACATGATATTTGCCTTTTTCAAGCTTATGACCAAGAAGTTTTATTTCTAACTCTGCATGTATAGAGATGAATTATCCTTATTCAACAACATGAAATACAACAGACTTGTATTCCATGTTGCTGAATAAGGATAATTCATTTGTGTGGGTGAATGAGGGTGAATTGAGCCTTCAGATATCCATCTGTTTTCCTGGATGCACAGCAACAGACCTCCAACCATCCTCCAGAGGTCCCTACAGATGATGTTGCTGCTCTGCATCCAGCTATGGGAAAATAGCTGGATGCTGGTCTGCTGCTTACCCTGCTCACCATTGGCCAGGAAAGACTGGTTTCAAGGGATGCTGCTGAGAACATATGAGTTGGGGGTGGATTTTGGTCATTCCATATTCAGTAGAGAATTCCAAGCTCTGCAGTGACCAAAGAAGTGAGTTGCAATAGCATAGGTTCCACTTACATCATTGTGATTCACCAGTGGGATGCCAACCATTATGCTGATCCCTGGCACATGGGGAAGAAAGACTTGCTGAACACCCACATCAGATAGTTTAAGAAGCAGAGGTCATGATATAAATGTAAAAAAAGAGAAAAGAGAGTGGAGGAGATTGATTTATTTTATAATGATTGCACATGTTTCAAGGCATTTCCCCCAACAGAATACTATTTATTAGTGTTGGGCTGCAATGCAGTGAGGTTGGGAATTGAGCAGTGAGGTTGGGAATTGTAGTCCAACAGGAAGACTGTTTAGAAGTAGGTCTCAGCCAAGCTCCTGCCATGCTACTTAGGTCCTTGCATTGTACAGACTTCCTCCCACTCCTTCACCAAAACCAACCCTTCCCGCCACAGAATCCTAATGGGAATTATTTTGCCAACTTTTCTCATCAAGTGGTGGGGATGAAAGTGTGCCACATGGAAATGTAGTGCATAATAATAATAATGTATTCCTGCATGGCAAGAGGCCACTGGATGGCCCTTATGGTCTCTTCCTACTCTATGATTTTATGATTCTATGAATACTGATGCAAGTTGCCCTCACTAAGTATAAAAGACCTTATACAATTAATTATAGATGCAATTAATTATATAAATTGGCACATGAAAAAGAAGTTGGGGAGACTGCTAAATCTTTGACCCCTTCAGGCCACCAGTAATTAGAGATTAAGCTTGTCATCTCATCTTCTAGGAAATATGAACACTCAAAAAAATTAAATGCCCTTTATCGACATGGTTTGATTAAATTGCTTCTCCTTCTCATGTCCACAGTACCTCTGGATTTCAATAAGAACATCAGAGAATTTCAAAATAATGGGACAAAGAACAGGTGTATTCATACAAATGGGGCCCATGGAGACACATTACTATCTGAACTTAAAAGCCTGAGGCTAAAGATGAGATATGCTGGGTCAGCCCAAGGATTTGTCTTACCCAGCATCCTGTTTTTGAACATTTGCAGGAAACTACAAACAGGGGCTGAAGGCTACAGGTCTCCCCCACTCCCCTTCCCCCAAACAAGTTTTCATGCTTCTGAACATAGAAGTCCCATTAAGGAAACAGAAGACCTATCCTTTACTGACTTGTCTAACAGCAGTATCTTTCATCTGTCCTGAATAGATAGTCAATCATTGGGAGCAGGACATCTTCTAGTTTTATGAGTGAGAAAACATCGTCTTTGTGCATTTTCTTCACGCGGTTGATACTTCTCATTTTCTTCACTTTGTGGCAGATCAATAGTATTCTGTTTGAGATACGTTGACCACACCAGGATGCATCATTCCAAAATCAGCTGGCATGAGACATTTTAGGTACGGTGCCGTAATCTCTTTATGCTGCTGGCCATTATGTCCTTTGCCTAATCATCCTTAGCATAGTATTTTCTTTCTTGTCTGACATACTGTTTTGACATTTCCATTGTGTCACAATGTTACTTTGCCTTTCCTAGTGGGTTACA